TGTTGTATCGCATCATAAATCACATTAAAATGAATAATGCACCACTATCTCCATCATATCAACTTGTACACAATGGGTGGTGTGTCGTATGCCCATTACATTGACTATTTTAAATTTTTCGCGATTTGGATAAGATATACATAACTTTATGTACTACATTCACATAATTAATAATTTGAAAAACTAAAAATTAAACTCGAACACGATATCAAATACAACAATACATTCTAATCAACATCATATATATAACCCATCTCAATTTAACCAATACCGCAAAGTACAATCATATTCTTCGAGTTTAGATCAAATTATTCATTTCTAATAAGTTAATTTTTAGTCTAAAATTACGAGATATTATAAAAGGCATACATGTTGATTTATATACATAATAAAAGTAAAATTAGTTGAAAGTGAAAAATTCTAGAAAGTAGAGCCAATTATGCAATAGATTCATAAAGAGATTTCTAATGACATGTATATATTGCAGTAACTAAAAGGTCATAACATTAGAAAATGTCCTTTGCTAAAACATTATTACTTTGTTTTTTAGTGAAACCGGGTCTGATATACCCTTTGATTTTGTTATATAGAGTTAATATACCTCCTTTATTAAATGACAAAGTTAAAGAATATCATTATCATGACATGTATGAAAATAAAAATATACATAGTGTGAGACTTGTTTCTAGAGTTTCTTTCTAGATTGTCTCCTTGAAAAAGGCATATCAACTACTTTTTCAATAATTTTGGACAAAGTCATCGTTAAATAACAATACAAGTGCAATGTTTTATTAAATCAAGCACGAAATCGTAATTAATTAATTAACTCGTTAACCCTAACTAGATAACTTTGAAATTATAGTTACTTGTATGACTTGACATATTTTCTTGATAATTACATCATTATCTTGATAATTTTCTATATAGTAGTTATACATAAACTCACATATTATACATAAAGTAAATAAATAAAGTGAAGGACAATTAATGTGTATTACTATTTACTACTCTCTCCGTTTCACAAAGAATGGTCTAGTTTGACTTGGCACGGAGTTTAAGAAAATAAAAAAGACTTTTGAATCTTGTGGTCCTAAATTAAAGTTATGTCAAATGTACAAAATTGTTCTTTAATCTTGTGGTCTTAAATATGTCACGTGGAAAGTTCAATTAAAATGTTAACAAAAAAAAGAAAAAGGTCATTCTTTTTTAAACAGACTAAAAAGGAAAGAAGATCATTCTTTTTGAAACGGATATAGTATTATATAGTGATACGTGAAAATGTTTATATTGCCTTTTGTTGTTTCTACGAAAAGGTTTATTTTGTATGAAAACTAAAGGAAAAAATAAAAAGGTATATACTCCAAATTGAGAAATCATCTGAGCAAACAACCCCTCAAGGCATCAATTATATATATTAGGGACATGTATTTTAATTAAGATAAAAAGAAAGAAATTTGACTTAAAAGTCTAAAGTCAAGTACACATTACTTCACTGTTTTTATTTATTTATCTAATTTTGATTTGACACAAAATTTAAGAAAGTAAAGACGATTTTTTAATATTGTCATCCTAAACTAAAAATATGTAGAATATACTAATTAAAATATTTTTAAAAATTTTATAATCTTAAACATGGCATGTGAAAAGATATAATTAAAAAATTATTAATAAAAATATATTTTTTTAAAATAAAACAAATAAATTAAAATAGAAGAAATATTAATTAACTAAGGCATGCATGGAATGTATATATGATTAAAGTAATACCTTTAATTTGCATACAAATTTAAAGGTTTCTGGCCTAATCACTCATATATAAAAATCTCACTAGCTTGAGTTCCTCCCTTGTTACATTTTTTATGATGCAAAATGGCCTAGACCACCTATAATTTTAAATGAAGATTTTTTTTCAAATTTTCTAGTATGTAAAAAAAAAATAAAAATTGGAAAGAACTGCCAAACTAATTGACCCTTCAGTAGAGCTAGACATAAAATATTGAAAATCTAATTATCGAATCAAGTTAAATTTTTTTTATAATTTGGTATTTGATAATTTGATATTTGAGAGTAAAATTTTAGAACTATGATATTCGGGTTTGGATTTAGTATGAGACATTAGTACTATTTGGTATCTAATATTTCCAAATCAACATATCCATTACTCAATAGTACAGTCCAAAGAGAAAGTTAATGACTAAATATAAACAACTCAAATACATGACTTTTAGTTGTGTTAATTTGTTTTGGCATAATACACAAATAGGCCCTTTAACATGGTCTCAACTCACATTTATGCCCTTCAACATTGGGTGTGCACAAGTTAACACTTAAACTTGTATAAATTTGAACAAATAAACACAGGTGTCCTGTGTGGCATCCTACATGGCAATTTGTGTTTTATGTTGTGTTCTACACAGCCAAAGTTGGAGGGCATATATGTCAAATGAGGCCAAGTTAAAAGACACATTTATATATTATGTCATTTGATTTTCTTGATATCTTCTTACTTGTTGATCTACTATTATATCATACTTCCCCATAGAAAAATAGAAATAATTGGAGCAATAGTATTATTAACTTGGTAATACAATTGGGCTACTGCCTACAACTTTAATATGGTATTATTGTTGAATACTATAACGAACTAAAGTTTTGTTAAATTGGGTCTTAGGCCTAACTCACACCCCAAAAGTTAGCTCAAAGGAAGGAGGATTGCCCAAGTCTTATAAGTTATAAGGAGTTCACTCATCTCATTAACCGTCAATGTGAGACTTTTTGTCATTCTTTAACAAGTTTAATTTACCTAATTACCAGCCAAGTCGAAATTTAAAAATTTGATTTTTAATTTCTACTTTTAACTATCAATTATCATCAAACTCAAAAAATCTCAAATCAAATATCAAACGTCCACCCCTATCCTTCGAATATGAAAAAAGAAAATGTAATTACTTGTACGACTTAAGTTATGGTGACAAATAAAATCAATACAATAACTGATAACGACATTGTACGCGTGGATTGCTGTAGTGATTAATAATAAACATATGAATGGTGAAGTATATGACAAGTAAAATGTGACGGAAATTTGATTTTGTAGTTTTTTATAAATTTGTTTTTAATTTTACCAGCAGAGACATAAACTGGGACATGATTACTATTCTCTTGAAAGCGGTGTGATTCATTGTGATTGGAATCTGACTTCTTTGTGATCCGCTTACTTGCTTATGTTATACCTTTTCCTTGTCTTTTTTAGGAGGTTTTCATCTTTATACCTAAGAGATTATTATTATTTTTAAGTTGTTTTCTTCTTTCAATTTATAAGTGATTATAAGAGATCATTTCAACTGAAAATATTGTTAATTATGACACTTGGAGCAAAACTCTAAATTTTAACAAAACTAATAAATCCAATATTTTGTAATGATCCATTTTAACGAGTCTGCATTTGTGGCCCAGGAACCGCTATTGCGAGGTCCCTAACAAATTCAAATATCAATTACTAAAAGAGGTGTAGGGATTTTTTTTCAATTAGATAAATGACAACTACCTAGCATAAAAAAATATGACAAAATGTAATTTTTTGTTGGAAGCGAGAGACAGAGATGGTTTGAACATATGCAGAGGAGCACAAGTGATGACGCCCAATGAGGAGGTGTGAGAGGCTAGTGGTAAGAAGTACACGGAGAGGTAGAAGTATTAGGGAGAGGTGGTTAGACAGGACATGACGCAACTTTATATTACAAATGACATGACTCTAGATAGGAAAGCGTGGAGGTTACGTATTAAGGTAGAAATTTAGTGGGGGTGGAGTATTGTTGTCGTGATGTGTGTTAATTAGTACTTGTCGTAGAACTAGTCGTACCCTTGTAGTTCTTGTCATATGTTGTTTATTGTGTTTCGATTATCACACTATTTTGTTGTTGTTGTTGCTATTGTTTCTTTCGTGTAGACTTTACCCTGCTTTCCTAGTTTTCTTAATTAGTTGTTTCTTTCATATAAACCTTACGATGCTTTAATTTCCTAGTTTTCTTACTAACGGCTATGTTTTCTTCTTCTTTTACTTGGATTTGATACACTTGAGCCGAGGGTCTTTTGGAGACGATCTCTACCTTCACGAGGTAGTGAAATATGTGTACACTCTATCATCCTCAATCTCCACTTAGTGGGATTGCACTGGATATATTGTTATTGTAATTTTTTGTTGATTTCTCTCTTCTAAGTTCGGAAGTATCTATATAGGCTAACCCTTCCCTTTTAAAAAAGTTTTAATTTATTTAACCTAATTTTGTACATAGGTAAGGTTTGTATCCCCTCTAATTTTTTTGTACTTCCCTAGAAGGTGCATAATGGCTTAAAAAAAAAAAAAAAGATCATGTGTTTTCTTTAGTTAATCAACTAATTCTTAATTAAGAAGTCATAAGGGACCAGGGTGTTCTAGTGGTCAATAAATTGGTTGAGACCTATGCAGTCTCAGATTCAAAACTAGCGGAGACAAAAAAAATACTAGGTAATTCTTCCCATCTGTCCTAATCTTGATGTACTCAAAGGTGGCAAGTAAAATTAGTCGAGTTGCGTAAAAATTGACCTCGACACCACGATCATTTAAAAAAAGGTCATGAGGCACCGTGTACCTTAAGATCCATGGTAGGTAAGAGCTTCTCAAACACATTATATATCTTCTTTAAATTCAACAACAAGAAAATTATATATTAATTTTCCTCTATAATTCAAGATAAACCCTCAAGCTTATACTTGTAGCAAATGTTTAGCAACAAGTTATCCAAAGATCCATTTATATTCTCTACATTTAAGCAACAAAAAAGTTTCTTTGCAACATATTAATTCCAACAATAAATTAGTTAACTAGCCATAGTCCTAAATCCTAATTAATTTCCATATATTAAAACTTTTTTTTCTTCTCTTGTTTGGGGAAATCCTTTAGGTTTTCAATTAAGTTTCAAGGTTTAGGGTTTTTATTATTATTATTATTCGTCGAAAATCTTGAAAAATGGAAGGAGAAGTGAAGGATGAAATTGATTTACCACCAGGATTTCGATTTCATCCAAGTGATGAAGAACTTATAACATATTATCTTATGAACAAAATTTCTGATTCTAATAATTTTATTGCAAGGGCTATCGGAGATGTTGATTTAAACAAATCTGAGCCATGGGATCTTCCAGGTATACTTAATTAATTTGTTGTAATTAACAATCCTCAAAACTTGTTAATTACTAAAGCATGTATTTACAATAAGCATATTGAAATTATATAGTAGTAATACATTTTTTTACCCCTTCCTTAGGTCGATCTTACCCTCTTTGCTTTCTTGATGACCCGAACTCACAATCATGGTTACCATCTGAGCAACTCCCTCAGTAATACATATGATTGTATAAATCAAGAAAGCAAGGGCTAGGGTTTTGAAATGATTTTTTTTATATGACATAAATAAGTTTATTATTCTTGAGAAAATTGAGGAAGCTAGCAAACTTGATTTTGTTCATAATTCATGTAGATCATTCATTAACTGTTATGATCATGCTCAACTTTGCTTGTTTTTTTTTTTTAATCAAAAGAAACGGAATGGATAATATCCTTACTCCATTTATAACAAGAGGTGTCGTAATTCGTGTCCAATTTTGATAGAATAAGAAGTTTTTTCTCCAAGGTAATAAATTTCAAACACAATATGATTAAGCAAAAAATGGAAGCGTTTTTTGTTTTTTCTTTCTTAATTCCTACAATACCTTCTTTAATTCTTCGAAAATCATAACATATATCAAGATCGTCTAATTACGTTTTGGAATATCATTTAAGTTATATACAATAGTATAATTTTTTTTTACAGTAACTTGTTATTAACTATGCACGCTCCCTAAATATAAATAAATAAAATTAAAGCCTACTCTATGGTGCATCTTTAATTGCTTGCAAGCTTCATCAAATTGTTATAACAAAAAAAATTAAGGAAGTTTTCTTTTTCTTGTTCCTTTTCAAAAACCAAATTCAAAGAAAACACTCTTTCTTGAATTATTATTTTTTTGTCTCAATTTATGTAGCACCGTTCAGACTTCGAGAGTCAATTTTCTAAATTTTGACCGTATTTTCATATATGAAAGTCTTTTTAAAAAAATTGAAATAAAATTTACATATTTTGAAACTATGTAAAAAGTATTGATAGTTACAAAAAACTCGACAAAGAAAAGACTCATTTCTTGAACTAATACTTTCTTTGTCCCAATTTATGTGGCATCATTCTGAAAGAGTCAACCTTTTAAATTCTGATTGTAAACTTGAATATAAAATCTTTAAAAAAATATATTTTTTCTTTTACATATTTCAAAACTATGTACAAAGTAATATAAGTCGCAAATTTATGAGGTATATGAAAAAATCGGTGTCAAAGAAAAAACGCTGACTCTCGAGAAATGAAAGATGCCGCACAACTTATGATGAAGAAAGTAAACTACACATTGTATTTAATTGTTCTCTTTAATACACATGATGTTTACTTATAAGGTGACACTTATTTTAAAACGGAGAAGGTAATTAAGCTGTATAATCAAGTTAACTTTTTTGGAAATTAATTATGATAGGGAAGGCAAAAATGGGAGAAAAAGAATGGTATTTTTTCAGCCTAAGAGATAGAAAGTACCCAACAGGAGTGAGAACAAATAGAGCAACAAATAGTGGATATTGGAAGACTACTGGCAAAGACAGAGAGATTTTCAGTAATTCAGAATTAGTTGGTATGAAAAAAACATTGGTATTTTATAAAGGAAGAGCACCAAGAGGTGAAAAAACCAATTGGGTAATGCATGAATATAGAGTCCACTCCAAATCATCCTATAGAACACACAAGGTATGTACTTCCACTTCTCTAGCCCCGTCAGTCCCGACGGATTCAATAAATATATCAATTTATCTCTTCATTTTATGTGAAAATTGGACAAGGAGCATAATTTCATTTCCAACGGGGATCTTTTATTTTTCTTCGTAGTACTAAAATTTTAGCATTCTCAATTAAAGTAAAACTCTATGTTCCTTTTTAGTTGTCATTTAGAGAGTCAGTTTGACTCATTTTTAAAGCTAAATTATATTTACATCAATTCAATGTATTAAAACAAAATTTTAGACATTCAAAAACTATACGGTAGATACAATAAGTTGCAACTTTTTTCCATATCAATATGTAGAGGTGAACCCAGAATTTGAATTAAACTCTGGTCTCATGGGTGATTCTTCTGGCTTGTACGTACCAACAGCACAAGGACACTCATATGCTCCTCATGGGTGCCCTGTTAATTATATCCTAGTTTCTGTCAATTTCTCAAGATAGATATACATATATACACATGATTTTTTCTGAAGTTGACGGGTGCACGTGCACCCTACTTATAAGTGTGGGTCCGCCTCTATCAATATGATAAAAAAAATGTATTTTAAAATGTTAGTCAAATTTCATATTGTTTGACTCTCAAAAAGGAAACTATGACAACAAAAAAGGAACGGAGGAAGTACTTGAAATTTAAAGCATTATTTCTAAATATAGAAATATATCGTATTTTTTAGGATGAATTAAAGGAAAATACGTCATATAAATTAGTACGGAGGGAACATATATATTGATAGTGCAAGAGAAATGAGGTAGTTGTAGTCTTGTAGAAAATAGTTTTCTTGTTTGCTCATGTTACATTGCCTTGTGCAAATCCAAATTATTCTTGGAAAGAATTTTATTAATTGTTTCTTCAGAAATTAGTAATATCTCAATTCTCATCCTATTTTTAATTCTATATCTTCCATTTTCTTCTTTTTTTCAATCAAATTTAAGAAAAAGTAAGGAAATATATATACACGTACTAAATTGTAAGGAGTAAGGACCCCTCAATCACATCAGGAGCTTAGTGTATTGGGTTGCGCTACTTAAATAGTTTAAATTTCTCGATCTTAATTGATCATTTGTTAATTTATTCCATACTAGCTAACTCTAACATACTTGCATGTTGACACACTGTTTAACATAAGTTTCAAAAGTCGTCTTTTTTTCTTATTAAAGTTTCGTGTGAATTCAAATTAACTTGTGTTATATATACTTGGGAATATTTTTCAGCAAGATGAATGGGTTGTTTGCCGTGTATTCCAAAAGAGTAATGCTGGAGGAAAAAAGTACCCTTCTAATAACAATACTTCAAGAATTCATGTAAACCCTTACACTACACTTGATCAAATCAATCCAAACACAATATGCATTTCTTCACAAATGATGATGCCACAAGCTCATGAACATAATGCCATTCAATTAGCCATGGGAAGACCATCATCATCATCATCAAGTGCTTACAACATGATCAACCATCCAGAAATTCAAGAATTCAATAGGGTTTTTCAAGGCGTTTCAACATCGTCATCGTCTAACATGATGAACTTGCATCCAATTCTTCAATCCCAAATGAACTATAACTTAAGTGGAGGTAATGGTTTTACTATTTCAGGCTTGAATTTGAATCTTGGTGGTGGTGCCACTACTTCTCAGCCAGTGCCGCCACCGCCACCACCGCAACAAGATATGAGTTCTTCTTCTCATGTGATGATGACAACTCATGATGATCAGGCCGGTTATGGAGAAGATATGAGTAGTGGAAATGGCATGAATAGATTTATGGTTATGGAGAATAGTGCTCATGATTTAGACAACTATTGGGCTAATTATTGATGATCTATGTTGTTCGAATCCTCCAAAAAATCGCATATCAGATCTTATAAATATAGTGCATTTTTGAAGAATTCGAGTAGATGTAATTAGAAGACAAGTAGTACTCTGTGTAAAATAATTAGTAGTTTGGAGATAGAGATAAATCTATTTATGGGGTAAAGTTTGAATGAATGGCTTTAATTTTGTGGCATTTTCGACCTTCATCCAAAACCAATTCAAAGTTCAAACAAGATAGAAAATTATTAAAGATAAAAAAAGGCCAAATGTACCTGTGTACTCTGGTAAATTGTTTATATTTATCCTCCGTTCAAGTTTTTGAATAATTTTTCCTCCATCGTTACACCTATGATCAAATATGACTGAGGAGATCTTAATACAGCTACGTCGATATGTAATACACAACTAAAATACAGTGTCGCAACATTGTAACGTTGACAGCGAGTAGTGGAAAGACCACAAAACACCAACACTATCCAAACCAAAGAAACAGTAATAGTACAAAAGTAAATTTTTCACACCCACTACCCTCACCATTCATGCTTTATGCACATATGGAAAATCTATGCAGAACTTGGAAAACAAAAAGCATCTGCAGATTTGACTGATACTCCAAACGCCCGGTGAAACAATGACATGACCCATCTGCAAATGAGATGAAATAAACCCAGCGTCATACACATAGCAGTAAATACTGTAATTGTGAAAAACTGCAAAATCTAGTCAAAGACGACGAAAGATAGACCAGTCGATATGAACAAATAGGTCGATCTTCCCGTACTATTTTTCTTTGAAACATTAATTCATTCTTTACTCACAATTAAGTATTTGGCTCTACCTATCTAGTTCTCTTATAGCTAATCTTACATATCTTGGCTCATGAAACGTAGAAACGCTGAAATGTTGGCTAGCCAGTCACCAACTAATTGACATCACCTTTTTCACCACATACAGGCGCAAAAGTCACTTCACACTACAGTTGAATCAAATATGCAGTATTTACAGACAATAGTTTACTTGTTATTGGGGAAAATCAATGTTCTTCTAATGTCGAATCAGAATCAACCAAGACAGAAATAAAGCATTGGGTTGGACTCTTTTTTTTTCTTTGAGATAAGGGTAACTGAGCATTGGGTCAAACTCTTCTTTGGTGTCAAAGGTAATAAGCTAAGTTGTCGACTTCCAGGAAAGAGTAGAAGAATGAGACTGACCGGAAAATTACTGAGGCCTAGATTTACTGCTTTATTCTCAAAAGCATGGGAACTCGAGTCCCTAGAAAAAATCCTATATCAATCATTTGGAGTAAATCTGGGGTGTAACTTGGTACAAGGATAAAGCATGTGGGAAATGTGCTACTTCAGACTTTGGCCAAGAATTGTCACGACTAACATTTTCCAAATAAACAACTCTCACTGATCTCATTGATTTTTGTTACAAGCTATCAAGAACTACCCGTGTTCCACCCATGAATAATACACTGAGATGGAGTATTTACTTTAGAAAAAGTCACCTTATAGCAGCACAAAAGAACAACAAGTACAAGCGTGTATGCCAAGGAACTTCAGAACATCTCTTAAGAGGCAATCTAATTAAAAAACATGCCACTACTACCATTTACCTTTAATCTAAAAAGCTAACACTGTGAATCTGATCCAGGTCATACATAAATTCAGCTCAAGATATAAATGCATCCATAAAGTAATTTTACCCAGGTAAATAAAGGCGGCAAATTGCTAACATGATACCTGCAAACTGTAAAGCGCTTGATTTCTGATGAAAGCATTGTACTACCTTGCCCTACTTGTCTGTGTGCGCCCTCTTGGACTTACGATGTGAATGGTGTGAATGGCCATGTCGAGTAGGTTTCTTCACCTTTGTACTGTCACAAATAATAAAATACAGACAATTCTGAGCCTTGTAGAATTAAGTAGATATACAGACGCTTCAATATAGAAGGGTAGATCACTGTGGAAAAAGGCAAATAAAGGAGCAGAGGAAACTGTGCTAACCAGAAAATGCCAGACAAAAATTTGAACAGAATTATAACGGGCAAAGCCAACACTGCTGAAGCCTACACCACATAAGATCAGCAAAAATTTCTTAGTATGAAATCATCAAATTGAATAAAACGGCAGAGGACAGGATGGCAAGACCATAGAATATGACAATCAGATACGTACAGCAAACCAGACGAACTCCTTTGTTGCAAGAGGTCTTGTAAGCTCATGTTTCTTCAGTGTTTCATCTACTGTACCTTGCAGCTTCAGATGGAATGAAACATTGATTTAGAATATATGGACCAAGACAATTTAAATACTATAAGCAACATATGCATAGTAGCAAAGGCATTTGCTGTTTCATCGATTCTTCCACCAGATCATTTAAATCGTTCAACTCATCCAACCATATAACCTTGTTACCTCTTCCAACAACAATTCAAAAGGTACTCTTCAAACCCTAGAATATCACATAATCGTTCTTCTAAATCATCTTGCCGAGGGTCTCTCGAAAACAGCCTCTCCACCTCCACGAGATGGGGGTAAGGTATGTGTGTACACTCTACCCCCCCTCCCCTACACTGGGTATGTTCTTCTTCATCACCACAAGAAGGTAAAGAGAAGATGAATACAACACAACCACCAGAAGAAAAATGACCATTTCCTCCATTCAATGAATTAAGACATAATAAACAATACAGACTAATTTGTCCTAGCTGGATCCTTATCCCTTGCCCCTAATTGCCTAAAGATCTGTTTATCTTTCATTTGACAATACCAAGTGAATGATCTATCTTTTAATACAGAGCTCAATCACAAAAGCATTTGAAAATTGGAAATTGTTGGGAATACACACTGGAAGCTCAAGCACTCTTCATCAACTGATTTGCAACACATTTCGCGAAGTTATTGTGGATAATTTAGTAGCTTAGCAAAATCATTCTAAAAAGTTAAGCCTCTCGCATAAGAATACAGAAGCGCCAAGAAGACAGACAGAAAATGTAACTTCAGACTCTACAGGATTTATTTTAGTCCATTTTATTTTTGGGTCTACGGGGTTGTCGGAACCTGAATACATGAGAAACTGATGCAGCAGTAAAATTACAGGAAATGTTTAGAAAGAGACTAGACTTGCATATCTCAACCACAAGTAAACCTCTGCGAGATCTGAATATTTCAGGGACTATCATATCACTTTATTTTCACACACCTGACTATGGTATACTGTTGCAGACTCCAGGAACTTCCCATAATGATGAACTGCCACATCTGTATATGGCTTTACAGCAATACAAACTTTTTCAACATGAGGTTTTGTAGCAGTGGCAACCTGATCAATGTATGGCTTGCTGAACTTCTTAAGTTCCTGTGAAAAAATTATGCTTTCATCACATCACATACAAATAAAACCGGAAAAATAGGTATAAGTTATACATTTGATGCATGTACAACGACAGGAAGTTGTATTCCTTAGTGTACTTTTGATATATCAGAAAATATTATTCGTTTAAATGAACAGATAAGGGATGTTACCTGAACGTGAGGTTCTGCTAGCTCCTGAACCTTGACAATATGTGGAGTTATGGCGCTTTTAGATGTCTCATAAATCTCAAATCCTTTGGTCCTAACCAGTTCCATTTGTGGCTTGAGGTTAGTGGTCATTACCACCCATTGTTCCTTCACAGCTGGCATCCATTTCTTCAAAGAGTAGAACAGCAAACACGAGACATTATTAAGATCCTCCATCTTGACAAATACATCACAAAAACTAGCTTAAGGAGTAAAATGAATGTTTGAAGTAGATAATTGTATCTACATCTATTAAAACTAATAGAGAGTCTTCCCAGATCTGGAAGTCATCTTACTCCCCACTCTTTAGCTTGTCCTACTAACTCTTGATTTTCTTTCCCCCAGATGTCCGGTGACTGTCATTTAGCAGATAAGAGAACTCATCTCTTGGGAAGAAATAAAGATACTCTTACCATTTTAACATTTTTACCTAGCAAGGTACCATTACTGCTTTGTAAACAGGAAATCTCAAATTGGTTTAGTTTTATTGTTCAAATACTTATTTCCATGAAGAGGTGAGTTAATGTAATAACATACTCGTTAATGTATGCCTAGAGGTGTCAAATGGGTGGGGTGGGCTGGAATTGGGCTAGTTAAATTGGGGTGAGTTAATAAATGGGTTGGGTTAAAATCAGTCCCAATGTGGTATGCCCATTAAAGTTTTTAGATGGTCACTCGGCACACAGAGATCAGAATTCACAAGAAGAAACTAAGATTCTCTCACTTTATTAATTCTGCAACAACTGGAGCTCCCAGATAAATATAGTCCTATCTTCATTCATATTTGTTGAACCTTGAAAAGATGTCTAGGCATCAAACTTTCAATTAATCATATACACACATAATGTAGTGACTTCTCTTTATATTAAAAGCATAACATAAAATGATGAGAAACAGAGAATGGAAATGTGGGACCACACTGGGATGTTATTGTAGAGAAGGAAGAAGTGGTATGCCCTAAAACAAGGAACTACACCATCTTTTTCCAATATATATGACACTCTTTTCCATTTTGGGACATTCCAAAGTATTTGACATCATACCATTTCTGGCTTTCACAACTTCCGAGAACTCATCCAATAAATTAATTAAATTTAATATGGTAATAAGAGATTCAAACATTAAATGATGCAAAGCTGACTTACTGTTTTGACTGTTTCTATATGTGGCGCAACCCATACCTCAGCTTGGGCCTTTTTCTCAACTGCCTAAGAAGCAAGTGAAAAAGGGTAAACAGGATAGAATAGTAACTCAAACAAGCATTCGTTCAATAATCAACAGTTAAACAGGATCCAATAGCAACAAGACATGTACCTTCTGTATCATTGTGTCCATAGCAGGTTTTCCGTGCTCCTGCCAATGCTTCTCCAAAAGAGACTGAAATTCACAGCAGAGTCAGCAATCCATTTATGAGAAGGTTAGTTATGATTTTTGCTC